TGACATATGTTATTTTTCAATCGGTGGAAATTGAAAAATGACATGTGTCAATTAACAATCGACAGAATTTGGAAATGACGCAGAACATATATACATATACAGTAGACCACCCAAAAAAGTTTCGAAAATCATTTGATATTGTCAATTCATCATGATAATAATATTGAATCCCGGACGCAGCAACAAAATAAAATGATTAATTTATTACTTATCGTTATTATTTTGTTACGTAGTTTAAAATTTTTTGTTTGTATTATTTTAAGGGTTTAAGAATATAGTGCACATGCATTGCAGTGCATTCTGTAATTTAGCCAATCAAATTTGTATAACATGAAGATCTTGTAACAAAAATAACAATTTTTCTTTAAATTTTTTTAAAAAACTCTAATACCTCTAAATATCATATATAAAACTGTCTTTGGAATCTTAATAAAAAATTTTCATGCTAAAATTTGCATATACTAATGTTTAAATAAAATCTTAGTCTTACCCTAACTCTAAAGTAAATCAAAAGTTATTTTTTGTTTTATATACAAATTTGTAAATCAATTATATAAGTGCACTGCAGTGCACTATGCACTAAATACTAAAATTTTTATTTTAATGCTCGATATATTTATCATGTGACCGAAACTTTTTTGGTGGCGATTTTACCCTGGTCTATACCGATACAGTACGTAATCACGAAGTACGTATGACGAATCCTGCCAGAAACTGGATTGTCATCACAATTAGATAAATTAACATTAGTTACCGTTACCCTGGCAATTGATTATCAGACTGAATAATAAAAATTTGAAATTGGTATATAAATAGAGATACGCCAAATTTTCATATGCACATGCATTATCAGCTCTTGGAAACTTACGCCAAATTTTCATATGCACATGCATTATCAGCTCTTGGAAACTTAAGTCATTAAATAAAAAAACAAAATCGCGTTACCACCTTAAAGGAATAAATTTCTAAAACAATTAAAAAAAAACCTAAAAACTTGTTGAAAACTCAAAATTTTACCCACGAAACTATTTTTCGCAAACTAAGAATTTTCTTGGAAATTATAACGCATACATACTGGAAAATCAGAATCTGATATGGATTCAAAGTGTATATGAGTGGCATCAAGGAAAAACCAGAATCCAGAAAGTACAGGTTACTGTCATCACGATGAATCACTAATAATTTTAATAACCTGTACTTTCCGGATTCGGGTTTCCCTTGACAGCACTCACATACACTATTATAATTGTTACGATCTTTCACGGGACCCTCATCTCTCGAATTTCATTGGTTTTTCAACTGGACATTGCATAGATGTGTCTAGTACGTAAAGATATATTCTAATTTTGAACGAAAATAATCATAAACCAGTAGTAAAATATTTTAGGTAGTAACTTTGGGATTTTATTGATAGCTATCATACATATACTGTACTGCGAAATTTAAATCGGTTTTCGAATATAAAAAAAAAAGTCACTATAGTGAATGATTAATAATTTTTAATTTTTGATGTATTATCCTAAATAAAGAGACAAAGATTTTTTTTTGATATTTTTAAGGGTTATCAAGAGGGATCATGATTTTTAGATTCTTTGCACTGGTGTGAGAAATTTATAAATCAGAATCTTTCTTAATTGAAGTAATTTTTCCTAAATTATCGACTTCAAAATTTTTATACGTACCACGTACGATATCATTGTGAATATATTTTATTCATAAGCTACAATGAAGATTATCATTACGTGAGAAATTGTCATGTAATGGGATTACATATATAAATATGTTCACATCTAAAGGCTGGCAATCCAATTTGCAATGGTCGCAATTACTGTGAATAAAGACAAAATTAGTTTGCTTCAAAATTATATCAATGCTATCCTAACAGATGGAAAGCATGAAAGAATTAAAGATCGTAAACAACTTAAAGATGGTCAAAAGCCTCCTCCACGTTGGAATCCTGTAAGTTTTACTGAGAATATCTTAATTTCCTACAATTCAATTCTCATCTTTCTTTATTTATAGTTTGATAGTAATCAACAACAACTTGAGACTGATCTCGATGTGGAATATAAGCTGATCCTAACTGGCGCTAAAGATGACAACGAAAGAATCGAACGTTTCTTTAAAGTAGCTGATAAAGTACAAGAGCAACTTAATGATGTCACTACATATAATCCGGATTTAATTAAAGATGCTTTCACCATTTTAATAAACAATCACCCTGCTGCTATTGCATTGGGGCTCAAGACACCATCTTTTAAGAGAATTTCTCCATTAACTTTGTTACCTGGACAATCTCTGCCTTTGGGTGGGCCTGAATCAAAAATGGTTATTATTTCTTCCTTATCATTCATTGATAATATGGTTACTTGCATAAATAACGTTTATTTTTAATCAGGATTGGTGGCGTGAAGATTTTTCCCTCAACGAAAGTCATCACCATTCTCATGCCATCTTTGTAATTATCAAACTTTATGTTTTAATTTTTAATATCAATATCATTTTCTAAGCATCCTTACTATGTATTAAAACTACTTTGAATTATAATTATAATTCGTAGGTTCCTAATGGAATTGCAGATCCCGATTTTCCAAACAAGAATTTCGCGTATACAAAAGATCGTCAAGGAGAATTGTTCATTTGGTCGCATAAACAAATGTTAGCAAGGTAACAATTAAAATTATATAATATATTTATTTATTATTTTAATTATCGATTAGAAGTAAACAATTCTTTAAATTCTCTGCACACGCATATATATATATATATATATATATATATATGAAAATATAGATATGATGCTGAAAGAGTCGCTGTTGGTCTTTATCCTGTTGTTCCGCTAACAAACTACTATGATCCGATTCCTGAAGGATATTTACCAAATAAAAGTTTAAGAGACTATGACGAAAACACTTCTCCTGCTTATTTACAAAATAAATATGATTATCGATTACCATATTCTTCAATTGCTAAAGAAGACGGAGCTCCTATTGATTTTGCTGTTGCAGCAATCAATAAAGCAATTGATTGTGGAGTCTTTTATGTATGTAATAATTCACAAAAATTTTTCTCTTAAGCAAATTTATTGCCAAGAAAATAACTTTACACAATAATAAATATACCTTAGAATGATCCCGACAAACTCGGGCGTACTCTCAACCCTGATCGTTTTAATCCAGATGTAGTTGAAGATAATGAATGGAAAGCAAAATATGGAACATTGCATAGATCTGGTCATACAATGATTGGTAGAATTGTTGGTAAGCTATCATTCATTTTTATATTTTTATCCATTTATAACTAAACTATTTATAAAATATTTTTCTCATTTTTATATTTTTATCCATCTATAATTAAACTATTTATGACCCATTTTTTCTGCAAAATTTATATAGGCAACAAGGAAGCAAAGGACGCATTAAAATCTAATGCTCCAGAAGGTGTTATCTTACATTTTGCTACTTCCTGTAAAGATCCCGTATTTTACAGGTGGCATCGTTTTGTGGATGGAATATTTAATCGTTGCATTGAAAAATCCAACCCTCGAACTTTCACTGATGCTCCAGATGTTTCCATCAAATCTTCCGATATTCTTCTTACTTTTAAAGATCAACTTATGATGATTAATCCAGAAGGTGAAAAAGATAGATGGCAAAAATATGGTGAAGCCAACTTTGGAAAACCAGGTTTTCCATCTACAAATGAATTACAAACTAGGATGATGTCTCGAAATGTTAAAGGTCCAAATAATGAGATTATTCAGATTGAGCATCTATTTCCTAGAGAATTTTATTATTTCTTCAAGGTGAAAAATAACGCTAAAAAGAATTCATATGATGATAAAACTGGTCGCATTATTAAAGTTCCAACGGTATATATATATCTTGATACACTTTACTATTTATTATTATTGTTATCATAATTATAATTGTATTGATTAAATTTTTTCTTTGATAGGATGCACATATTGCACTCAGAGTATTTATTGTTCCAGAGGTTTTGGCACACGATCGTAAACAATGGATAGAACTTGATAAATTTAAATATACGCTTAAAGAAGGTGAAGAAACTGTCATTTCTCGTGCCTGCGAGCTCTCTTCGGTTATTCGAAAACCTGCTCAGAAAGTATTTGATGAAACTTCAGGAGATGATTTTATTAATGGTAATTTTTGAATCTTTATTTATTTAACTATTTATTTATTTCTTTCTTCATAGAGTTTGTTTTTTATGATGAGTTCTTAAAAAATACTTTAAATGTCATATAATTCAGATTATTGCAGCTGCGGTTGGCCATATCATCTTTTACTTCCACGTGGAACTAGGGAAGGAATGAAGTTTAAATTATTTGTATATATCTCGGATTGGAGTATTGATAAGGCTCCTGGAACTACTATTGAAAGTAGTATAAACACTTGCGGTAGAAAGTTGGAGAATGGAAGACCAGCTAAATATCCAGATTCTCGTAATCTGGTAAGTTTAAATCAAATTTATCCTTAGAAAATTAATTTGATATTATAGTAATTGATATATTATCTACATTATTTCAGGGATATCCATTTGATCGTCCCTACGTTAATAATTCTTTGCAATCGGTATGTATAATTTAATCCATATCATATATTTATATATACAAATTTATACAAAATTATGATTTTTTTTTTCTTTAGACATTCGTCAAGCAACAAGACCCTAAATCTGTGAATATTAGCTCAACTGATTTCCCACGAGCTGAAAGTAACGTCCTAGAAGACTATTGGTTAGATAATGTCGCTATGCGTGATGTTACAATTAAATGGGTTGATCAATTTAAGTGATTTTAAGTTCAATATCATAGTGTCAACAGTTTAACTTAAACAGATAGCCAAGTTCTTTTGTAAATATATATTTATATGGAAAATTATTAAAATAAAGGAATAAAAAGAACTTTTTTTTTTTAAAAAAAGTAAAATTCTACATTTTGGTGATGATTATGACCAATCAAAATTGCAAAAAAAAAAAATTAATAATACAAGAAATGATGCCTAAACTTGCCTTGGCGCATTAATTAAAAATATCGAAGGCAATTTTACATATAGAACCCTTCTAATATCAACCTAAACCTATCCAAACTGACACTACTCTTGACTTTAATAGTAATTTCGTGATACACCCAAACTACCTCTTATAACTAATTCACTTTAATGGCGGATATGTTGTAATGCAATAACCCATATATTTACCTTTTTTTCTTTGATAGGATGCCCTCAATCACTTACCACATATATTTACTCAAGCATTAGTCATATAATGTATATCGCGCACCCAGAAAATGTGTACCAGGTTGGATGATAGCTCGGATGATCACTTAAAAAATCCATTAACGCGAAGATTTTATCAATTAAAAAAATAAATAAATACATACATATATATATTATACATCTTATATATATTGTCGACTCTTAATACAACGAATTCAAACTTGAAATTCACAATAGTCCGGTAATAAATGCTTTATAAAACACGACAATTTTTTATAACCAAACTTTTTTTACAGTCAGTTCACTATAGAAAAAGTTGAACCTATATAATATATATATATATTTATTAATATTAAGCTTTTTTCAATTAAATAAACAATATTACGTATGCTTTACAAAGTATACAATGCTACATATTTCACTCTTGGCATTCTAAAAACAATTTTTTTTTAAATCGCCAATTGAGTGATTTTTTTTTTTCATTTTTTTGAAAAATTATGTCAAGTAAATAAGGTCTAATTTAAACGACGTATATGGTAACGTTATTATTAGTTATAGGTTTTAACACATTATTAGTTGTAAATGTTAACTAATAAAGTGTACCGGTATAAGTAGGTTTAATATCCCACTAGGGGATCAATTAGTTAGGTAGAATTCCGACTCAATAATACACGAATAAATTATTAGGTTTTCGCACACAATTAATATGACTATTTGTATCTTTATATACATTTAAACATCGCCTTTTTCGTAACGTCAATTACCATAAATCAATGCGTAACTGTAATAATCCATGTACTTTATTATTTGCATACAATATCTGTCGCTAAGTAATTTAGTTGAACCGAACTTATAATAGGTAATTACAGATGTAACAATACAATACCTCTTTTCTCCACAGTGCACATAATTGAAAATTGTCTAGTGACGTTTTAATTTATATAGATTTTTAGTGCAAAGTTCCAAATAAAGTTAAAAGCCTTAAGGCTGATTTTTTTGTAATAAACAAAAGCTTTTCTTAGTATATTTCTCAACTATAAGTCACACTAATTGTGTTATACCTAACGGCAACAGCTCTATAAAAATGATTTCGTTTATCACTATAGTTTTTGGTCTTTCTCATTTTTTTCACGATTTATTAGAACTCATCTCTCTTATACTGACGGATTTCTTTTCATTATGGTTTTCCAGTGTTCACAGAATTTGCCATTTTTTAGGCTTGGGATTCGTTTGTACTAATGATTTTGCCGAACAACTATAGAATGGGGCTGGCAATAATAATATTATTATTCTTGTTTCATAATGAAGATATAACCAGATAATATGTATTCATGCCCAAAACCAGGAACAGAAATATTACGCTTTGATGATAATAAAGTTGTTATTTTGGCATTAACATTTATGCCGTAATACACGTATGTGGAATGATTACGGTATGATTACATGAAAGTTATTTACCCGCCAGGCCACTTAACCGACATCACGAGGGTGAGGAATTGAGCAACAACCATGTGGAATAGTAACTGAAATAAATTTTGGCTTATCATTACATACTATAGTATAAGAAGATAAATCAAATAAACGGATAATTTTAAGTTTGTTTATTGAAAATTTTAAAAACTTATGTCAAGATTTATTATTTCAATGGAAATTTGTCCGTTATCTGTAAATTTTGAGTCCGGATGATCACTAAAAAATTACGTAACTTCGACTAACGCAAGATTTTGTCGATTATATTAAAACCGGGTCTAACGGCGAGTCAGTCGCTCAACAATCCAAATTCTTGCGTAACCTACGGTTGGCTTAGTCGGAAAGAGACGCTTAGATTTGGTTGGTGGTTTGGTGTCCATAAGTAAGTATTTCTTCTGTTATGTCTCTGGGTTTTCCTTTCTACTAACTTTTGTGTAATTGAACAGCAAGTATAATCTCAACTAATCCTCAGTCCTTGCCAGATATTATTTTAATAAAGCGAAGTTCTTTCCCTCTAGGCCTTTATTTATAATATAATCCTTCATTTACATTTGGAATTCTACTTATATAATCTTAAATGAAATAGTTTTTGTTCAAGTTTATAATTATTATTGCTCGAACATTACTTATGTTATTACAGTTGGTTTTAGAAGAGTTTATAGAAATATGAGTTTTAACAGAAATATGAAATATGGATTTAAAAAATTATCATGGATAAGATAAATAAGAGACACATAAAAATACTGTAAACTCAAAAAACTTTTTTTAAAATCATACATTTAACATTATTATTTTAATATGTTTTTTATCATATTTCTGAAAGAATGTTATTAATTTTTCACTATTTTACTTCCAATTAACTGTCCATATTATCTCACACTACAGTAGATTATATATTTATATCGTTCGTTATAATTTTATCTATCAATGCTGTCGTCAATTATTCTTACATATGGTAACTTATGAAAGATGAACCTATTATAATCCTGAAAGATTTGCATGCTAAATTTTAACTAAGAAATATCATAGGCAAGCATATTGCGATTACAGAATTAAGGCCGAAACTAAATTACACAGATCCGGTGTTATATCTTGTTATGACTAGAAATTATAGCAGATTAATATGACAATTTTTATCAACTACTTGAGTATATAATAAAGGTCGTGAAGGGCATTTTACGGTTCTAATGCAAATAAGATTATTGAATTTTGTCTAGTTGATCAAGAGATATATACATTTTTCGTTTTGTAACTATAAAATTTTCTTTCCAAAGAAAATTTTATAATGATGAAACTTAAAACGTTCATATTTCATAATTGATATTAACTGCGTTAAAATAGTAAAGTGATGTTAAGTACAACTTCTCTATTAAAGCTACATTAAATTCTGTCCCAAGTATATTTTTTTGTTTCCATGAATACAATTGTTTCCTAAATGCATGCTACTAAAAGTCTGTCCCAACGAATTGCACTTTAAAGTGTTAACTATACTTTTTAACATTAAATTTCTGTTCGTTTTTCTTTTAATTTCAAATTTCAAGTTTTAAGATTAGAAGATTATTAACAATAGTAAGTATAAATTCTCTTGGGTGTATTTTGCAAGCAAACAATTAATTTTGTGCCACAGTAGTATGAGAAAGTGTTATATTTTATAAATTATACGAATAAAATAAATAAATTTAAATAAAAGGTACAGTCAAATTATTTCTCATAATTAGATCTTATTACATATAAAATATCATTATCAACCAAACAAGAATACCACAAACACTCAATGTAACGATATCAATTTTAGTAATTTTAGACATCCCAGCAGAAGAAGGAGATGTAGAAGAAGGACTGCTAGTAGAAGTAGTTGAATTAAGAGAAGAAGTTGCACTACCAGAAGGAGAAGGGGAGGTAGTAGAAGGAACATCATATGTTAGATATGAGATTTCAAAATTAACAGATTGGCTTACAAAGAAATTTCCTATCAAAAGGCACCAATCAGGATTTATATCAGTTTTTTGCTGAGTACATGATCCAACAAAAGAAGATGTAGTCCCACAAAGTGCATCAGCAGTTGGACTACGAGCATTATCTAATAAATATACAAAAAAACCACCCAAATCAACAGGGGTGGTTGAACTAGAAACCGAAAATTTAGGACCAGAATAAGATAATAAAAGAGCATCTAATATTGAAGCATGTTGAAGGTAGGAGTACTTATAACCAAATCCACTCATATCTATTGCAGTAGGTGCTGAATATGTTGATGGGGTTGTGCCGCTATACGTAATGGCTATAAATTTAAGCATATTAACAATAAGTAATAAGATTCTGATAAATAATTATTTAGCACTTTAAAAATATAAATGATTAATAAAATACATGCATATAGAACTATACTTCTTTAAATCGATATCATAGCTTATTTGAGTGCTTGTTTGAGTTTGATCAGTCGTCAGACATTTAATCCAATAAGTATAACCTGGAATTGTAACAGAAGCAGCACTAATCTCATGAACCTGGTATTTGAATAATTTAGAAAATATGATATTTTACAGGTGAGCAATTATAAAAACAGGATGAGAATGATTTTACCTTTAAAATTAAAAAAATTGTTAAAAATATAAAATATTTCATTTTATAAAATCGAAATCTCAAAATGTTATTTTCGTGAAAATTCTGAGAAATTAAATTATCTATTACTCTTATTTATAACGATAATTCAGCATTAACTTAGCGATTCATTTTTTTTTTTTTTTTTGATAAGTGTTTATACAACTTACAAAGTATCGACAAATCAAGTCACTGTAGTACTTGTATCATGTACCATTTACATCGAAACAATGGTTTTTTCAAGTTTCTACTTTTTTTGATCATTCATTTATCTTCTGTATATGAACATGACTAATTAGTTATTTCATACAATATGGGAAAATTTTGATGCTCTTAGCATCACAACCTGACTTTTTTAATAGTATTAAATGATAAAACAGCAAGTCCATTTATGTGCTTAAGTAAATATATGATGTTAAACCGTATGAGAACATGACGTATCCTAAAAACATTACCAATTTGATAAAAGTGCGTATTCTAAGAACTTCCCGATCTTATAATAAAGTAGTGGAGTAATTACTGAAACTTGCTACATGATAGTTGTTCACAAAATAATTATCGTTATTTTCGTTATTAGGCTTGAATGATTTTCCTGTCGTTATATCATCATACTTGTTTCATAATGCTATCCAACTTATCTTCTCCGTTTATTATTTCAAATTATTGGTAATTCTAGTTGTGTATCCTTTATTACCTGTTTATATTTCATCATATTGTGCCTTATTTAATTACCCATTTATATTTAGTTTTTATTTTCAGCAGAGTTGTTTATAACGCAAGGATAGGTTATAGTTATTGCATGGGTTGTAAAAAATAACTATTTTATTCACGGCGTCTGACGTACAATCCCGTGCCAATAAGTAAACGAAAAAAGCACGGATTGTTACATAAGACCCGTGCAATAATATCAATGCGTGTGTGGAAGTTATAAATGAAATGTATGGATAAGGAATGATACACAATATTTTTATCAATGAGATAAACATAAATGAAATCATTGATCTAAATGATAAGCCAATATAAGTTAATATAATCGAATTAACAGCAAATGCTATTGACGTTCTACCAATTTTACATGCAGATTGTTTGAAAATACTGACAATGACCGGTATGTTCGATAGCCAACGTTAATTATGCGACCTTTTCGTTTCACTAGCACATTAGTAATGGCAGAAGAAAATTGTCCCAAAGCTTGGAGTAATGATAATTCTTAAAATAGCATAAAAAGCCGTCGCAGGTTTCATTAATAAAGTTTTTCAGAATTCGATTCTATGAAATAAAATATGTAGAAATTCATTTCAACATTAAGATTTAATTTTTAAACTTAAACCTCTTTTTTTTTCTGACTTATCTCTGTGAGAATCTTCACGATATAATTTATGTTTATATCTTTTCCCTATTGTATTTATGCGTAACTTATCGTAGATAGTCATTTCATAAAATTACCAATCATATTTAGGGATATGAATGGAAAATAGTAATAAGATAATTCTGTCTATTAAGCAACACGTATCTATGAAAGCTTTACCTATTAAATTATTAAATTACGCATTTAAGTATATTATTTATATTTATTTGCTTTCTTGTTTGCTATTAGAATCGATAGTAATGCCCATATCATTGTTGTAGTTAATGAATTTATCATCAGTTGCCCGTTTATTATTTTTAAATTTTTGTATGTTATATTTTTAGAAAATTTCTAATTGTACACGGGGTGTTATATACACTGGTATTAATTAATTATTTAGCAAATCCTTGTAAGATAAAATTAAAAACCAAAAAATTAAATCCGATTTAAAGTTAGAGTAAGGTTAGCTTTAGGGCTATAAAGATCATAGTTTATACTAAAATTTTACGAGAAGTATTTTTTGGTAGGACTCTAAAAGCTATTTTATTATTATGATTTTGAGATATCAATATACCCGTGTTTTATATACTAGGGTTCAAATAGAAATTGCCATACTTTTATTATTATAAATCCAAATATAATAGACTCGTCACTATTACCCCAAGTCCCCATCAATCACTCATAACTTCTAATCCAGTAGTTAGATTTTTATGATTTTACCACTTCTAGACTTAGGGGTTTTCAAACGCCTTAATCAATGGATCAAAATATTCAAATGTGTTTATTATCGTAATGAATATTTAAAATAAACATCGCAGCTTAATAAAGTTTATAACGTAATTAATAATATATTTTTATTAGTAAAAAATAATACATAATAGTTATATCCTGGGTAGTTGGGTATAAGCGGAATTTTGGTGTAGAGTATAATGAAGTAGATTGGCTGCGTAAGCAGCCAAACTATGTCATCATGCTTTACACCAAAATTTTGCTTCACCCAACAACTCAGAATATATACTATAATTTAGGATAATTATTAATAATTCTATTAAATTATACTAGTAATATTTAAAATATATATACATTAAGATAAGGTTTTGTCTTTATTTTTATTAATAATTTGTTATAAGCAACTATATAAGTTAATAAAGATCAGAGTTAATTTACAAATTTTTTACAAAAATGAGACTTAAACTATAGATAAAATTATTATCTAATTTATTTAATTTATTTAATTTATTTATAATTCAAATCTACTAGAGTGGTTAAAACTCATTTAAATTTAATAATATAAAATTTAATTAGTAAGAATATTATAGTTTATTTATTTAGATAATTATTTAGATAGTTTTCTATTGACTTTTTTTTATAATAAGCAAATATAAAATTTATAAACTTTTTTGTATATTATTGATTAAAAAAATCACAAAGCAATTATAAGTATATAATATTCTGAGTTGTAGTATTGGTCTAAAAATATTAAAATTTATTAATTAACTATAAAATAATTAGTTAAAAATATTATTTTGTTATTTTTATTTAAATAGTTTAATGCAGTATAATTTTTTTTTTCTTTGGCAGTCTTGCCATAAATCTTTATTAAGATTCTTGTATATATGTTACATACATTTTAACTTAAGTTTCTGGTCTAACATCCTCCAACTGCTTTTTTGAGTGCCCAGAGGTGGTCTGCTGTACTGGTTGGGAATATACCCACATCCAGAGGCTGTACCAGACTAGCCAGTAAGGTTATATATAAATAGTCTTGATTTACTATAAATAAAATTTGCAATTGAGCCAGACCATGTCTTATATATTTCTATTTTTTCCAACTCTTTTTCAATTTTTCTAGCTTCAATCATTTGACTCTTTTCTATTTTAATAGCTTTCCTTATAAAACTAACTTCATTAACTTTCTTTGTTGGGTTTTCTATCAAATTTCTTTTCACTTTTTTGTTCTTCTTTTCAATTCCTATTTCTTTTTCCCATAAGATGAAAGCTTCACATCATTTTTCCGTATATCCTCATAGAAGCAATTCCAAGTTGTATTAATTGTTGTTAACATAAACTCTTTCATTTTTTTTACTTAAATGGAGTATATCTTGCAACAAATCTAGTGTCTTTTCAAGTATTAGACCTTTGATTATTCTATATCTTGTTTTAACTTTCTCTTCAGTTCATAGATTTCAAGATACTTCTTTAAACTGCTCTTTATTTACTTCTGCCCTGGCTTCAGCTGAGAACTTTGTCTATACCAAATTCATTAATGTATTCTCTATATATATTTATATATTTTTATAACATTTGCATATTGTTAAATGATCTTGATCTTCTTCTATATTTTCTTTATATATAATGCAATATAGATTTTTATAAAGATCTAGACAGTGTTGTGCTAGTGTTTTGGCTACTGGCAACTTATTATTTATACATTTAATTAATATTTTTATATGTTTATTTTTCTCCATACTTGAATATTTACTTCTGTTTTGGTCTTTCATTTTTTTCTAAAAGTATGATCAATTGTATGTTCTATTACCCTGATCTGATTCTACCTTTTTGATTGCTATTGTAAAACTCCATTCTATACTCTTTTTTAAATCTAAAATTTCTTTTATAAATTGTCTTGTGAGATCTTCTATTACTTTGTTTTTCCAACAAAGATTTACACTAGTTATTTGTACTGTTTCTTTTACTATTTTATCTATATTATCTAGTTTAGCTTCCTCTTTTGCTAGTTTATCTGCTTTAATGTTCCACTTATTATCACTGTACCCTTTAACTTTAACTAGTTCTAATTTAAGCTCTTTTAATTCTATACAATCACTAATGTTCTCTAATAGATTTTAGTTTTTCCTTTTAAGTCATTATCTTAGTGATCTTTTTGTGTTTTTCTCTTCTATGTTGGTGATTGCTATTGTACTATCTGTGAATATTTTAACTGTTCTCTTTTTTGGTGTCATAAGTAGTACAAACCATATTGTAACCAACTCTGGTTTTGTTAATGATGGCCAATTTCTTACTCCAAAACATCCTTCTCCAAGGACCTTTTCTTTTTTTTTGTCTACTTGAATCCAGCCTGCACCTATACAATCTGGATCTTGCTTCATAATCTTTGTTTCTTTTTTTAAAGATCTATCTGTATAAAAAACTAAGTCTTCTTCTGATCTTGTTTGATTTAAATTTTTTCTGTAAATGAGTTCTCTCTTCATCATCACACTTATTGGCTGCTTTTGGATAATTTCTGTTTTTAGATTCATATATTGTATAAATTCAACTTTTCTTTTACTAATATTTGGTTTTATTTCTTTCTTTCTTCATGGCTGTTCTATTTTATTATAACTCAAC